TTTAAGAAATAACAATTCAAAAAAGTTTATATTAGTAAAATTTTTTTTATAAAAGATATATAATAAAAATTTTTATATTTAAATAAATTCCAATACCTAATAACTTAATTAAATAAGATAGAATTAAAATTTTATTTTAAAAAAATGATCTATTAATATTTATCTAATGTATCAATCTTTTTGTACCAGATTATAATGTAAATTAGAAATCAATCATGTTAGCCAATAAAATATTCACTTGATATATTCAATAAAAATTAATTTTGAATTAAAATTAAATTTAGAGTTAAAGATTATATTATATATAATAAGATTTTGCAATAATTATAATTAATAATGAATATAATAAATTCTTATAATTATTATATAAAAATGATTTTTTATATATATAATTAAATAATATTAATTATATTTACTATTACTATAAAATACTTTTTATAAAATTATTTATTTACAAATAAATAAATTTAAATTCTTTAATTACTAGTCTTAAAATATTATTAAGAATCTTTATTTATAACTTTTATTAAATTAATTACTAAATAATCAAACCTTTTATATTAATTGGATAATTATAACTAAAAAAAAAAACTCAAAATAGATAATTATAGATAAAATATATATTTAAATAAAAATTTTTTATAATTCAAAATCTTTAAACCGAGCACATCATGGTTTGCTAGCTTAAATTTAATAATTTAGTAATTTCGACACTTTTATATAGATGAAACATTCTTCTCGTTAAAGATTAGTTTCATCTATGCTAAAAGAAATATATATGCCCATGTGATTTTACATGCACGTGATTTCTACATATTTATTCGTTCAACAAATTTTTTTTTTCCAACAACTCCTGGCAAATACAAGGTTATTTCTATTGTCTGGTTTATTTTTTTTGCGATAATAAAAAATCACATTAAAGAGATTTAAAAAATGGCACACGACCAAGTTTGGTTTTCGCGTCCTCGTCGCTACGGAAAAGGTTCTCGTGAATGGTATGAAAAAAAATCTAGTGTTCTTTATATTTATGGTGGTTATGGGTTAATACGGAACTTTATTCTTGAGAATAGCCGCGTTTGCGCGCATCGTGCCGGACTCATTCGTAAATATAATTTAAACGTGTGCCGCCAATGTTTCCGTGAATATTCCAAAGATATCGGATTTATCAAGGTACTAACTACTGTTATTAATATATAAAGATAACTCGTAATTGATAAATTACATATTAATGGATATTTTCAATCAAATCATGATATGTAGTATCGTTAATTCTATATGGTCTTTTGACCTCAAAATGAAAACTAGAGAAATAATAAAGATTCGGTGAAGTAAAATTGTAATATTGTAATATTAATAAAAGATATTTATAATCTCCCATTTTTATTAATTTGATTCTCTCATGATGTTGATTACAATTTTTTATTAATTAAACCACCATTAATGAAATTACAAATTTTAGATATCTTTCTCAAGTCATTATCTTCATTACTCTATCCCAAATATGTCTATATATTATATAATACAATACAATATAACCAGCATATTACAACTATCATCGAAACATCGCAAAATCTCGTTCTTCCTTAAATCGCGCGTGAACCAATTCCACAATTTCACGTGGATAATATTCTTCTGGTTTTCCTTCTATCGCATCATGTTTCGCTGCTTCCTCCTTCGTGAGCAGCACACAATTCTCTAGACTCAATGGTTTTGTTTTGTCCCAACGTATTAGTGTCAATTTTTCTGATGCTCCCGAGATCACACTTCGACCTCGCCAAATTTCGTCGACGGCATAACCCACGTCGCGTTTATCTAATGGAATTATACTTGTAAAAAGAAAATTGCGTTGAATGCACGAGGGAAAATTTCAACATTAATTGGCTATTTTCGATTAATTTCTTACTCTGTTTTATAGGTTTTGTTCTCTCTCACTTGTAAATCACGATGTATCCGAGAATATAAAGAATCACGATTTTTATTTGCTAGCGGCTGAATAGGATAATTGGCCAACGTCGTGATAATGTATGTGGCAATAGTCATTCCAAAAATGGAAGGGATAGTTCCTAAGGGTCAAAATAACACCACCAATAAGTCTAATAATGATTTTAAATAAAGTATGAATTTATAAAGTACCTAATACTGGAAGAATCCGTGATCGAAAATCAGGTAATGTAGCATATTCATCAGCATTGTCAGTTCGGCTTTCATCTAGCACAAATGGATACAATAGTTTTAGCCTGTGTAATCTGCATCTCATAATGAACTATAAAGTTACCTAATGGCAATAATTTGATATTTGGTTTTTCGGTGGAATATACTACTGTTATGCCAGATTCTACATCCATTTTTCGGAGACGACGTCTAACGGCTCTCGCCAGCGGATCCTCTAAACAATATCAAGAAAAACATTTGTATACCGTAAAGAAAAAAAGATAATATTGTATAAATAAATACCGAGTGTTTGGCCAATATCACTTATCTGTACTCGCGTAGGATCAGCTTTAGCGCCAGCACCCATAGAACTAATAATCTAACAAGTAATTATTATCCACTTGTCAATGCAACAAAGGGGATGTATGAATTCTTCAAAGGAGTAAAATTTGATTGAATTACCGGTAAATGATTGTCATGACAGTATTTAAGCAGAGCAAGCTTCGTGTCAATGTTATCAATTGCGTCAACAATAAAGTCAGGATTTCCTATTAATTACGCGAGATATTTTTATTATTGAGAGATTTACGACTGGTTTCGGGAGCATCGACATACCAGCTAAGAGTTGAGGCGCGCTATTTTTATTGAACAATTGGGTCAATGGCTCAATATTCGCCCATGGAGCAATCTGTTCGAAATTTCTTTTCAATGCGATAACTTTTGGTGTGCCCACATCTTCGTGAGTTGCAACCGCGTGTCGATTCAAACTACTGAGCGTGACTTGATCAAAGTCAATTATCCTTATATGTTCAACTCCGGAACGAAGAAGCATCAAAGCAGCCCACGACCCAACACCACCAGCTCCGACTATAATTACAAAAGAACGGCGAATTCTCTCCACACCTTCGGCCCCTAGAAAAACGATATTTCTGGCGAGCTGCTCTTTTATTAATTCTTCGTCGTATTTCTTCTCTTTTGTGAAGCTAATACCAGAAGTGTCACGATTCAATGGGAGGTGTACGTCGGGAGCGTCTCTTTTTGCAGCTTTGGTACGCGCGTTTCTTTGAAAGGTATTATACGTTGTAAGAACAAAACTTGTAGCTAGACTTGCACCGACCGCGGTCAGTGCTAGCTGAACTTGGTGATTTGACGCTAGCGCGGCTATTGCATCAGCAAAAGGTGATTTTGACATAATTTCGAAATATCCAACTTACAAAGAGCAAACAATACGAAGTATAAGCGACTGCAAACGGGTAAAAAATGCAAGTTTGAGCGCGGTCCGTATAATTTTTTGTAACAATGTGAAAATGAGATGTGAATTCGTGTTCCTATTGGCCAAATCCATTTAATTTCAAGTTAGTCATCATTATGATGTATTTGATGTATTACAGATATTTATAAATGAAATCACGTGAAAAGTTAAACTAACCGATCACTTATAAGAATTAGTCTTATCCGAAATGGTGACTTGGTCCCAGAATATATATAAAACCTATTTTGGTATTAAGATCGGATACATCATCCAACAAAAACAACTATACACCTTACTAAACCGTCCATCCACAAAAAAAACAACCCTATACTTATTAAATTAAAATAATGGGAAACGACGGAGGCTCAATTCCAAAACGTATTGAACTTGTAAAAGAAAAAAAGAAGAAAGTTAAACCTGATCAAAACGCATTAACCATAGCAACATGGTTCTTTTGTGCATTATCAAAGGTAAAAAATTTTTTTCGTTTGAAAATACGTTTTATTCATCGTGCGTGCATACTTATTGAGTATGAAATTGCGAATCTAGCGCGCTTTAAGAGAGCCGATCGTCGCGTGTGGTCTAGGAAAGCTGTATAACAAGGATGCGATAATAGAGTTTTTGCTTAATAAAAGTGCGTATGGTGATGGTGACATCATTTGTTCGCATATCGCTAGCATGAAGGTATGTATGCAACCCAATTATTATTTTATCTTATTTTTTTTTAATATTCAATTAATAATCAATCTTTATGATAACAAAATATAGGATGTCACAACGTTAAATCTCACACTTAATCCTGCTTTCAAAGAAACTTCGAATGCAAATACGGCCCATTTTGAACCTGGAATAGTGTCGCGATTCATTTGCCCAATCACCAGGAAAGAGATGAATGGTAAATTGAAATTCGTATATATTGAGAAATGTGGTTGTGTTTTCTCAGAACAGGGATTAAAGGAAGTACCCAGTTCTAATTGTATACAGGTAACTATTTAATATTCGATGGAAGAATATAATCATTCTTATTTTGTCACGGGACGTCAATTAAATTCTCTTTTTATTTGTTATAGTGTGCTAAACCTTTTACCTCGGAAAATATTATCACTATTAATCCTTCCGCGGAAGAACAAGAAAAATTGAAGGCAGCTTTACTAGAAAAGAAAGCAAAGGCCAAAGGGAAGAAAGAAAAAAAGAGACAAAAGGCAACAACATCCACTGATGAACAAGTGATAAAGTGTGAATCTTCAAATGCATCTTCTACGTTGACTGATACAGTTAAATCTCCGGAAAATAACCAAGCCACTCGTGTTAGTAATCATAAACGCAAACTTTCTGATGAGGATGTTTCTGAGCCAGGAAATTTAAAGAGAGTAGCCGTTGAAAAACCAAAGTCTAATACTATTACTGCCGCTAGTATGGCTGGTGGAAGTTCATCTGGATCCTCTGCTGCCGCTGCAGTCAATAAGAAAGTAAAGGAACAACTGGCAAATTCACAGACAAAATCAAAACAATCTAAAGCCATTCAATCGATTTATTCAAAGAAAAGTGATAGTAACGTGTCAGATAGTTATTTGGTCAGAGGAACGTTTAATCGGTATGCTGCATAAAATAGATGTTTCATCCTTTATTTGTTCAATTAGGAGAAATCATAAGCAAAAAATGCTTGACCTCATTATGAATAAAAAATCCGAGATTTGAGGATATTATTTTTTGTTCGATCACAAATGGTTCACGAGTTTCTGGCTTAGTCAAATATTTAAGTACAGCATATGGTTGAGAAATCCTAATAGCTTGATTTACTTTTTTTTATGACAAAAGAACAATTCAAAAAAACTTCAATAAAAAGATCGACTTGATTTTTCTTTCGAAAAAAAATGATCTATTTTTTTGCAATCTTGATCATGTGAATGCTAGGTAGTTGTGATTATTTATACTAGAAATACAAAAATAACTATCCTATAAATGTTTAAATGTTAAGAAATAATTCATATAAAAAGATGAAGTTTTTTCCCAACCGTTTTTAATAAAGATAACCACCCAATTCCTGAGAAAAATCAACCCAGAATCATCATTACTATTTTACATCATCGTTAAGCTTATGTATGTATGTATCATCGTTATTACTAGTATAATTAGATTTCATCTTCCAATTCTCCCATTATAAGAAGTACCTTCCTCAGACACTGGAGGAACTCGTTCAAGTACTTCGACCGACCCTTCTTCCAATACCAATGATCTATTCTTTGCTCGATCTTCAAGATATTCGTGTAATAAATTCGCATTACGCGTATTACACTTATATAAAAAATCCGCTACGTCCCCTATAAATGGTACTAGTCCTATCTGTTATATATAAAAAGCGAATGATTTAATTAGTTATCAAATGAGATTAGAAAGAGAGGAATCAAAAATTTACCAGAAAATCAATCATGACATTTATCATCATTCTGGAGACTATCGCCGGGGGTAAATCTAGTTGTCTTGCAGTGTTTACTAACGTTAACGCGAGGAAAACACCCGCGAAATCACCAATTACCGGTAAAATCCCTTGATTAATTTCATATAATTAGCAGAATTATTAAAAAAAATCACCCAAGGAACCAAATTTGCGATAAATGAATCGATAAATACCCAAAATCGGCTCAAGACCGACCGAGCAACAACAACAAGAACAAAAACTTTCATCAAAGAGTCTCGCTCGCTTTCTCACTGTTTTCAATACTTTCGCTTCTTGTTTTGTGAGTCCAGGTGGCAAATTATATTTATTTTTTCGTTTCTTGACGGCGTTTGATGCTGATGTGTTATTCGGTGCTTGTGCGTTTATTGGCTGTGAATTTGTGGGTGTTGCTTGTGATGCGTCACTGTTGTTGTCGCCTCCAAGAGTTGAACCTATTACTGATTTTATAGCGGCTTTCGCGATTTTTTGTGGAATTGTAGACATTGTTAACTTTTTATGCGGTATTATGATATTATTATCGTAGCCAACAATTCAATTATTATTTTTTTTTGATTTCTTCTAGAATAATGAGAAAAACGTTAAAAAAAGTGAAGTTTAATGGCAAAAAAATAATAAAATATACTTGCATTTTCTTTAAAAGTTATCTTTTTTAACGTTTTTAATTTGAAATGATTAAACGTTTTTACGAGAACATTAATTTATTTATTATACACAAAATAGTATGACAAAAAGATGACGCTGTTGTTCATCATTCCATTATTATGTACATAATAGATGATTCGACAAAGATGTTATTGTGTGAAATTTGGTCATTAAGGAGCTTTCTTGAAAGTTTTTTGTAAAAGCGATAAACAAAGAAAAACGTGTACATGTATTTTTGAATCTGTGGGGTTAAAATGTAAATATTTTTTTTTGCATATATCAAACCAAAAACGCGGTACCACACCATAGGCTGAAACATGAACAGCTCACTGTCTGCTACAACCCTAAGAAGACGGTGTCTTTTTCAGTTAGTCAACCCGACTAGCATTCAGTCATTGTCATATCAATCACTTCCATTGTATCCCTAGCTTGTAACGGTCTCCGTTTTTGATAGACGGAAATCACGACGACAATATTGATTGAAAAATGGAAGTGAACAATAAAGTTTTTTTTGCGTGTTATTAAGATTTTTCGAAATTCATCGTATTTCCTAATCCGACAACTCATATAGCTCATATGCAAGCAACCGTTCTTGAGCCAGTTATGATTGAAAATGTGCAGGATGGATATATTTGAATTGATGGGTTGGGATCGCTGAGATGTATAGATAAAAAAAATACCGTAAAGCGTTTTTGTATAGTACCCCTCCCCTGTAAAAATTTTACACCTTAATTTAACTTCAAAGTTTGTAAATTATTAACTAAAGTTTTTTAAGAAATTACACAGTGAATTTAGAATTTATTTTATTTGCGAAACAAATAATTAGTTCTATTAAAAGGGGACAGATTAAATTAATGTTTAAATTTTTGATTTTTTTTACAGGGGAGGGATACTATACAGAGCGCTTTACGGTATCTAGCTTAAATGATATCGATTATGTTTATACTGTTTTTCTTATTCTCATAAATCAAGTCATTCTTTTGTATTGGATCTTTTTTCATCTCCAAATACACCAGCAAATAAACTTAATCGATCAGCTGGCTGAATATCCAGAGGATAAGTACCATTATTCGCAAATTCATACTCATTTATTCCATTCGATGTATTCTTTGGATTTGTAACAGTGGAAGAAGATAATTTACCAAAAATCTTTATACAATATTATCCGCCCATCAAGAAATATATGTTGGCGTTTTTATCAATATACTTTTCGAAGCTCTGCTTGAACTTTTTGATGAAGACTATTGCATGAATTTTAATGGTTGTAGGAAAAAATAAAAGGAAGAGCGTGCATAATCGAAATAGAAAGCAAACTGCTTCCCGAGCTTCCATTGCTATCCAGTATCATAATCATGTGCAGCTGAGGTAAATGATATTGCAAATGCACAAAGAAAGTTAATCAAATAAAAAAGAAAAAAAAAACTTTGTCTCATGCCAAGGCATAAATATTATCCCGAATATGATGAGCGGATCCTGATAAGCTACCTTATAATGACAAACTTTTGTAAAAAACCTGTCGAGCAAAATGTTCATAAAACAAAGCAAGGAATTGGTATTCCATTCTCACTCACAACCGTAAAGAACAAATTTTTGTGTATAGCAGCAGCAATATAAGGTCATCTTTTCACAATACTTTTTAACAGTAGAACCAGAACTGGATCTGCAAGAAATATTTTTTTTAAGTTTCATATCTCGCTTGGATATGCTTCAGGTATTTGCTCTATTTGGCCGTATTGTAGCACATGCTTTTAAAGACAGATGATATTAAAAAACTCATTTAAATAAAGCCTATAACAATGTAAAATATGAAATACATGGCTTTTTGTTGTTTGCACATTCATGATTGTGCTCATTCCGTTTTCTCTTTGGTGACATTATACTAATGGATAATTTACAAAAGAACGTTCTCTAAAAAAAATTAATTACAATGATATGACAATTGAAAAATCATAGTAATTTTTAAAAGATCATCGTGTTATTTCGCAGTCAATGTTGTCGTTATTTATGCGGTTCCTTTGTTCCTTCGTAATTTTGTCATCATAATCATTATTGTATAGGAACTTTATATTATAGGCATCAGTAGTCAATCAAATACTAAATTAACTATATTTTTATAGTCATACCTTTTTTATAATTTCCTAATTGATGCATTGTAGTATAAAGATGATTGTCATAATTATTATTTTCAAAAACAGAAATATTTCAGCTTCAAAACTGAATTGATAAACACTAACGAAATTATTTTATTTTTATTTTCTGAAAAATAAATATTTCTAAATAATTTAATATAAAAATGTCTCTCAAATCAAAATACTTAAATAATTTTTTCAACAATCATTTCACAGTTATTTTTATAATAAAATGATAAAAGAGTTTAACTTATTAAAATTTTATAAATTATTTGTATATTTAGAAAAATATTAAATACTAGACAATTTTTAATTATTATAGAAATATCCTATTTATTTTTTACATAATAATATTAATATATAGTGTGTAACAAAAAAAACTGGATATTTTAATTTTCTCCATAAATATTTATTTAAATAACATAAAAATTTAAATATATAT